TAGGGAATTTTGTTTGATCAGTTGAAGGATTTCATTATGAGCTTGTCTTGTAACCAGAAGGTGGTGGGTACGTACTGACGAAGAGTCCCAAACTAGGACGAAACAGCTGTCCAGTACTCCCTATTGGTTTTCTAATTGTTCTCTAAATGATTTTAGCTCATGATGAAAATCCTCCTCCAACTATTCAGACAAAATTCTCTACAAAACCAATACTTGAAAATTATAAAGTGTTTAATAATATTTGAATAAGTGGGGTCACCTTTTAGTAGGTCAAGTAGGATGCGATTGAAAGCCCACATTTACTGCAGACATACATTGAGATGCCTATGATTAATTGAAAATGCTTTTGTTACGACCATTTGGTGAAGAAGGCTGACTGAATGATGAACAATCACGTGTTCAGACGCAACCAGATCATGCATCTGAGAGCCTAGAAGCTCCAGTGAACCATCACGTTCACCTTCTAAGTCATGCCTTTTCGTCTGGCGTTCACCGCATTCTCTGTTCCCACAAATAAACTATGAAATTACATTGCCTGTAATCCAGATTACATTTAAAAATTCACCTGCACATATATAAATATATATGCAGAAGTAAAAGAATGCTCCGACGTCATCAGAAGGAAAATATTCCGGAGAGTTTCTTTTTGTCTTCATGGTCTTAGTCCCACTTGACCTACTGAAAAGTGATTCTGAACAAAGCAAGAACTACAGTGGTTTTAGCAGAATAAAGTGGGTGGTACCTTCTCGTCAGCTGCTTACAGGGCAAAAACATTATTAAATGTGTCTACAAAAACAATCTAACATACTTGCACAGAGTTCATTTTAAACAAAAATCAATCGATCATTATACGCATACACTAATAATATATACATATTTATATACGCAATATTAAACACTATTCCGAACAACAATAATAATCATACACAGTGAAAGCTTTTTAGTATCTCGCATTCGGATGAAAAATATTCAGTTACCAGGGCAAAGAAAGACTGATGACCGCTTCTTTCTGAACGCATGGAGATTGCTTCGGCAAACTTGAGGAGAATGGAGCTCCTTTGTCTATTGATAATTTTAAAGGATTTCTCCATTTCCATCTCATGACTCGTGTCGAGGAGATGCATTTGTTCCCAGCTGTAGACATAAGCTTTTCGGTGCATGTTCAGAAAATTGTAGATATGCCCTTCTTCCTTTCTGTCCTTCCAATGTAACTGCTCCCGCAGATACATGTAAATTTGTATATACAGTTGGAGTTGTTAACATGAGAAGGATATCTATCGATTTTTGATGGCACCAAAGAGCAAGTTGGTCGATAGACGGGAACGAGCTTAGCTGCAGGATAGGCTCTGTCTAGTGACTTACTCAGCCTTCTGTTGATCATTGCTGCAATGTTTTCACCTTTATAATAAAGTTGAATGTAGATTGGCTTTTTACCCACTGTTATTTGTTTTACATTTGTGACTTCAGATCTTCCATACTTGTTGATGAACCTTTGAGGGAACGTACCCATTTCTCTTCAATATCTTTTCAAGAAACTCAAATTCTTCCTCTAATTTCTCTATAGACCATATTCTCCTCACTCTGTTTTTGTTTAAAATGAACTCTGTGCAAGTATGTTAAAAGTGTTTTTGTAGACATATTTAATAATGTCTTTGGTCTGTAAGCCCCGATTGTGAAACAAATAGGCAGGAAGAAATGGAGATGGATTGGATTGTGGCCATACTCTGAAGAAAACATCAATTGACATCACTAGACAAGGCATTGCTCGAGTGGAACCCGACGGAATGGGAAGCGGTGAGTTGGTCGTCAGTGCAAGGGTGAGGGTGACTTGGAGGAGGTCATGTGAATAGGAGATGATGAAAGCGTGTGGGCAGACTTAGTTGGAGCCAGATGAAGACTCTAGCAGAGAACCGAACACAATGGGGACGGGTGGCTGATGCCCTATGTTCCTCTAGGAATTAAAGGAAACAATAATAATTATAATAATAATGCTTGTTGTAATAATATAACCATAGTATTTCATAATAATAATATTTGTCCTCTGAATGAATAACTTAGATTTATAAGTTCAAATGACTTCTAATTGTTCTCATGATGATACGCTTTATTGGTTTTAGTATTTGTGTGTGTGAAATTTATTTTATAAAAAAAAAACAAGTATATCCAAAGTTGTATATTTCTCAACAAGACATCTATCTGTCTGTCTGTCCTTTTCACAACTTTCTTCATTTTTTCTTATACTCACTCTTTCTGATTCACTCAAGAATGCTTCAGTGTTGTGTACGAACAATCAACACTGAAGCATTGGAAATAGGCAAAATGTGTGTGTGAGTGTGTGTGTGTGTAGTACAGTCTGTAGTTTGTGTGTAACTTCCTCACATTCCATCTCGTTTATGACAATAGATAGATAAACACTTGAAAAAAAACGTTAGCTTCATTGAAAAAAATAAAAAAAGGAAAGATAGAAAAAATGAAAGAAAGAAAGGGGATAATAAGGATAATAACTTAAGTTTTCTTTCAGAAGAAAGATAGTACTTATGTCAATAATACATCAGTTTCTTTTCTTTTTCAATAACTAAGCATGCTTCAATCTTTTCTAGTCACACTTATACTGACAGCTGAGGGAGCTTTTAACCTATTTGTACTAAGGGCGTTTTCTGAAAGCTCATTGCTTGTCGATAAAACCTCTTATATATATATATATATATATATATATATATACATATAAGAGGATTTTCAAAGTAAATGTAAAGTTAGTCAGTCAATCCTTCTATGCGAGTCAAAAACTTGGCCAGCGTGTATCGAAAAGGATTTCCAACAGGCCCCATGCAAACTTTTATCAACAGCTGTCCCCTTTGCTGGCTGGCTGGCTGGCTCCAGTCAGCCAGAAAGCAGTAGCAACAAGAGCCTTTGGCTAAGAGCAACCCGAACAAGAACCTATCGTTTAACAAATATGTAGGAATTTTCATCATGAGCTGACATCAGTTAGAGAACCATTAGTTACAAGGTTACCAGAAGGTCCCGGTTTCGAATCCCGGTGGGTGCGTACTGATAAAGAGTCCCAAACTAGGCTGATGAAACAGCTGTCCAGTACTCTCACGTTGGTTTTCCAATGGTTCTCTAGCTAATGTCAGCTCATGATGAAAAATCCTGTAACCAATCAAATCCCTACAAACCAACACTTGAATACCAATGAGATGCTCACTAGCGACTTGCCCTATTCAGGTAGGTAGTTACCTGGTGTTCTAGTGAGAAGTCGTGACCAGTAGGGTGCAGCATATCGGGTGTGAGGACAAATACTCGCCGAAGACATTGGCTAGGGGTCACGCTATGTCGTGAATTGGCAGAAGTTAGAATTCATGGGCTGACCATTGTATCGGGTCCCAGTGGCTCAATGGTATACGAGATCGCTGGCCTTGGAAGCAGAAGGTCCCGGTTTCGAATCCCGGTGGATGTGTACTGGGGAAGAGTCCCAAACTACGACGAAACAGCTATGCAGTACCCCCAGGTTTCCTAATGGTTCTCTAACTGATGTCAGCTCACAATTAAAATCCAGTAACCAATCAAATCCCTACAAATCAACACTTAAATATGTAGGAAACCGTCGAATAACATCGCGCGCCAAGCCATCGATCGCTCGAGTGGAGTCCAAATAGGAAGCGAAGAGTGGGTTATAAGTGTGAGAGTGACATGGAGGAGGAGATGAGAGATTATGGCCAATCGTGGAGCTAGCCAGCTGAAGAGGACAGCAGAAAATAGAACAGAGTGGAGATGTCTTGTTGTTGTTGTTGAAGCCAGCCCTACGTTCCACTCGAAACAATAATAATATAATAATAATAATAATTGCATAAAATTAAAGCGCTGTCTGTAACCCACTATCTGCATAGTCCACTAAACACAATTACCTCTTTTAGCACATGAATAACTGAGATTCCAGATGAGTTAGATGGTAAGATAAGAAGTATTCTGAATATGTAATAATGTAAGTAATAATAATAATACTTTGCTTTATTCCAAAACAGTACTTGTGATACACAATGGAATTCTTAGCGTTTTTACTACAGTATTGCATCCAGTTAGTACATTATCAATAAATGGAATTCTACATAGATTAAGGAAATCTCAGTTCATTATGACAACAACACATTGGCATGTCAGTAGCAAAGGTAAAGCTGAACAGTGTTCGAAGGTGTTAGAAAAGTAGGAGCGGTCATATTTACTGGCGTAAGCGAGAGAAAGAAACAAAGCAGCACATAACGGAAAAAGAGAGTGAGAGAGAATAGGAAAAGAAAGAAAGAAAATGTTGTACCTATTGATGATGTGAGTAGGAAAGACGAGATCCATTTGTACTGCTGACTATTTAATGAATTATAGGTGTCACGCCTAATGCTTTCTTTATTGCACAGAACACGAGCTAAGTAGGGTATGGTTGAGTTTTGTACTTGCTGGTGCGAGCATGTAGTTTTCTATATAGGCTTCTGGTTTTGCTTGATGAGATACAAGGGGAGAGTTGTGATTGAAGAGGGTGGTGGTGTGAGTTAGATAGAATGACTTTGGCCCATTTTTCACATGAGTCCAAGTGCCTGCCTGTCGACCAGAATATTAACAAGCTGGTCAAGTGGCACATTGCTTATCCTGCTGACAACCTTCAACATCCTGCGTAATATGTTGTAGTCTTTTTTCAGTAGCCCTGGAAAAACTAAGGGGGAACAATAGAGAATAATAGGCAGAATGCGAGAGTTAACGAATTGTAGGAGTAAGGGTTGGGTTGGGTTATACCAGAATGTTTTAACTTCTTGATGTAGAAGGTAAGACGGAATATTTTCTTAGAAATCGTCAAGATATGAGACAATCAGGAGATATCAGCAGATAGAATGACGCATTGTCGTTTAATTTATGCATATTTTCTATATTGTGTCTAATGACTACTCGCCTAGCCAATATAATAAAATATCTTCTGTGTCTGATCTTAATTTTAATTTTTTTCTCAATCTGTAAAGAAGATACATTTCGAATTTTAAAGAAACCAAGCAAAGGTGTCAAGCGTTTGTACTTCCACTCGGGAACATTTACATTTTCCTCCGATACTGTAGTCTTCCTTCGTTATGATAACAAATATGAAATCACAATGAAAAATATAGCAAATGTAAGTTTCTTTTTAAAAAAATAACAGAATTTCCTATTTGTGCGAGCTGTATCTATCCGTCTGTCTGGATTCAACATAGAACTTCGCACCGAAGTGCAGCAGTTCCAGTTGCCACGTTCCAAAGAGCACACAAACGTAGACAAAAAAATGATTGAAGAGAATCAATAGAGTTTTGACAAGTATAAGAGTGAAACAGAATGAATGAGTAATGGTAGAAAGGAATATGAAAGATTACAGAGACTGAATACATTTGCGTAAGCCATTGACAACGATTTTGAGCCATGTCACCTATTGTCTGTCTCCAGTGATTGATTCTTAGAGTTCCGAGGGCCCCAACCCGGAAGTCTGCATCTCCCTCCCTACCTGACTCAGTTTAACTGTCAAGGATTTCATGGATTGATGAGGCCATGTTTTTGTTTGGCATGGCACCACTTACTCTTTTCCAACCTGCACCTATATCAGCTAGTAATGCCCGTCGGGAGGGAGAGGCGATGGTTAGGCATGCGCAGCACGTCACCTAGCCATCTCAATCTATGTGACTGTAAAGCCTCTTCGATTGATTTTCCCTCTTTGCCCAACACTCTACGCCTAACCTAACGTCGACATTACTTACCTTATTATACCACCTAACGTGAGAAAGAGATCGTAAACATCTATGATCAAAAACAGTCAACCTTTTCATGTCTTCAACTCGTATTGGCCATGTTTCAGAGAGCCATAGAGAAGGACGGAGCGAACTGCTGATCAGTACACACGTCCCTTGGTTGATAGCCGGATGTCACGCCTACGCCAGAGAGACGGTGTAAGTTAGCGAAAGCAGCCCGAGCTTTTTGTATCCGTGCTGAGATTTCGTCGCCAATCAGTCTGTTGGTGCTGATACAACTTCCCAAATAGGTGAAGTGGTCAACATGTTCTATCATTTCACTCCCTATCACTAAGCTAGGAGTTGACGTAGTCCAGTCCTGTAGCAGCATCTTACATTTTACAGGGGCGAATCGCATGCCAAACTTACGAAGATTGCTGCAGCTCAAGGTGTTCAGAAGACTCTGCTGTATTTTGTCAGCATCCTCCCCTAACAGGACTATGTCATCTGCATATTCTAAGTCCATAAGAGCGAGCTGTGTACCATAAAACACTCAGAATAGCTTTGTTTCTTCCTGTTGTTGGATATTTAAAATATTATTCAATATAGAGAACTTGCAGAACTGTTCAGCAAAGAGAACCATTGAAAAAACTAGAGAATACTAGACCGCAGTCACCTCTCTATCTCAACTTCATCGACTTTGAAAAGGCATTCGACAGCGTCGATCGAGAGGTGATTTGACAACTACTTCGCTACTACGTGGTGCCTCCGACATTTCATCCAACAGCTGTACGACAATGCTGCATGCCAAGTAATCCACGACGGGAAACTTATGGAATCCTTCTAAGAAGTGAGGACAGGAGCAAGACAAGCTGACTGTCTACTATCGAAATTAATTAATTTCCTGATTGCAGTAGATTGGATAAACAGCGACGAGGAAACAGGCATAAAATGGACTCACACAAAAAGAGACTTGGAGGATCTGCACTTCGCCGATGATATATGTCTGATTTCCCACAAACTGGAAGATATGCAAGCGAAAAGCAACAAGTTGGCAGAAGGAGCATCCAGAGAAGATAGGACTTTAGGTGAACATAGAGAAAACAGAGGTGATGAAGATTCCTGGGCAACACCACCAACAGCAACAACAACAACAGACAACAATCAGCCAGCATAAATGGGAGGAACCTGAAAGAAACAACCTCCTTCACCTGCCCACCTGGGAAGCATCGTTTCAACTACAGGCGGATGGAAATGATGAGGATATCAGAGCAAGAATCGGAAAAGCATGACAAGCTTTCACTACTCTCAAGTCTGTGTGGAGGTCAACAGCACTCAGCATCAAAAATAAGATCCGATTTTCAACTCCAATGTGAAGTCAGTCAGTGCTACTCGCTATACGGATCAGAGACTTGGCCAGCGCGTCATAAAGAGCATCTCAAACAAACTACAGACCTTCATTAACAGTTGTCTTCGCTCAATACCACTCAAGATCAGATGCCGGCCGGCCAGAAAAGATCAGCAACAGGGTGGGATCTCTGGCAATGAGCGAACCAACACAGCAGGAACCGATTGTGAAACAAATAGGCAGGAAGAAATGGAGATGGATTGGATTGTGGCCATACTCTGAGGAAACAAACCATCAAGTGACATCACTAGACAAGCCATTGCTCGAGTGGAACCCCTGAAAGGGAAGCGGCGAGTTGGTCGTCAGTGCGAGGGTGAGGGTGACTTGTAGGAGGTCATGTGAAGAGGAGATGAAAGCGTGTGGGCATACTTGGAGCCAGGTGAAGACTCTAGCAGAGAATCGAACGCAATGGAGACGCGCGGCTGAAGTCCTATGTTCCTCTAGGAATTAAAGGAAACATTAATGATAATAATGATTTAGTCCTTTATGGGGATTTTCAGCAGAACGCACCGATGAGCCAAACCGGGATCGAATTCCCGAGCATGCAGATTATGATATGAGACAAGCACGTTGACCCTTCAGCTAGTGTGATAGTATCCGATGGCGCATCAGTTCCAACTTGAGTCAACTCTCGATAAATATATATTGGCGTAGCCACTAGTCAGTGTCCTCTCCGAGTATCTGTCCTCACACTCAACTTGGTGAACCCTGCTGGTGACAACTTCCTCCAGGAATTTAAGAAAACTTCATTCTGTAATTGGTGACCAGTAAGTACCAGCCGTCGACCAAAGTTTGGTATAACAGACTGGGAGTAAATGAGTGGATGAGAAAAATGAATTTTAAAGAAAATACACACTGGCCAACATCGGTTTCAGAAAAATTTGGGATAAGAGGCAGATGACAGAAATACCGGTGGGCGGGCGGGTGAACAGATATACAGTGCTGATTCCTTTGTCTTCGAAAGTGCTGCACTACTGTGACTGCAAGAGAAGAGCTTAGTTCTTCCTAAAAATGAGGAGAATTCGTGGACTGTCATCATGTCAGATTCGGAGTACACTTCTCTTCTGGTGTTCTCATCATCAGAAGTGTGACTAAGTAAAATGCTAAAAAACGTTTATTAACACTTGTCCATTAATGCTGGTGATAAACAAAAAAACACAAATTACAATGAAATTAATAGACGTGAAAGTTTCTCAGCAACACACTTGTAGATCAACGATGAACATTATAGGTTTGTGATGTACCAATGATCTATGCAGTCGAGTATTTATTTATTATTATTAATAATAGTTTGCTTTATTCCAGAAACAGTACTAGTGGTACAGTGTGGAATTTCCAGCACATATCTACTATATTTGCATCTAATTTTATCAAAAATTTAAAAGGAGTATTTCAAAAGAACAATAAATATAAAGACACCAACAGCAAGAAAACACAGAAATAATTTTTAAAAATGCCAAAAAAATAGCAAGAAGTAGAAAGGAAAATAAACAGCATATAATAATAACTCAGTATTGGGTAGTGGAAGCTATGATATGATTGTGCATGGTGACAGTAAAGCTATAGTCATACAATAAGTTATGAAATGATATTTAAGAATGTTTATCGCCAAGATGATCAGTTAATTTGGTTCAAACAACTCTAAACAATCATAAAATAACATTTCAGGGTTGTTGTTTTGTTTTTTATTGTCAGGTCTAATGTGGTGTTTTTAGTGGTAGTGTGAATAATCCTGTATAATACAAAATTCTTAAAGGTGGTGATAATGGCGTTTACAACCAATGATTGTCAGTTAATATTGCCGAAAAATATAGAAAATAAGAAAAAACAACCATAAATCTAATAATTACATGATGGTTGATGACAGGACAATTTTGGACTACTCATGGTGCTAATATAGTCGGAACCAGTAGATACACAAAAGAAGGAATACAATAAAGTACAAAACAGGAAGCCAGTGTTATTATTTAGGAAGCTAAGTATGTTTGAGAAGGAGTTCACTATAGAATACAAAATAAGAGAGAAATAAAAGAGCCTAAAATTGTGTTGTTAACAACAAAGTAAGTCATAGGTTTCGCGCTTAACGTTGTCTCTGTCACTTGGAACACGGGCCGAGTATGGTATCGTTGAGTTCGTGTACTTGGTTGTACGAGCATAGATTATTTTATACTGATTTCTGGTTCTACATGGTGAGATACAAGGCGAGAGTTGGGAATAGAGGGGGTGTTGGGGGTCAGAGAGTATGGTTTTCGACCATTTTTCGCATGTATTCAGATGCCTTTCAACTAATGTAGTGACGAGCTGACTGAGTTTTACACCGCTAGTCCTGCTGACTACCTTCAACATCCTTCTCAGGATGGTATAGTCCTTTTTCAGTAGACCAGGAAAGACTCACGGGGAGCAGTAAAGTAGAATAGGTAAGATACAAAAGTTGAAAAATTGTGAAAGTAGAGGTTGGGTGATTCCAGATTGTCAAAGTTTCTTAATGTAGTAGGTTAGACAGAACACCTTCTTAGAAATCGTTAGGATATGAGATGTCCAATTAAGGTCGGAAGATAGAACTTGACCGAATATTGTACCAAGTATTTTTTTCGTTATTTCTTTCAAAAAATACGCATATTTTTCACACATTGCTGTTATCATCAGAGAAGAAACATTTATGGTGGTGGGTATTCAATGGATAGATTTTAGGCCAACACATTGCACTTTTCCAGTATTTCAGTGAATATTGAGCCGACAGAATAATCGCCAAGTGAGAAACTTTCGTTCAGCTAATGTCATGAATTGAAAGGTTCTCTTGTAAACCTTAGGAAGGATTAAAATTTTATTGTATTTTGTTTTCTCTGACTGACTACTACTCGTTACCAGGTGTTGGCTTGCAGGGATTTGATCGATATCTGACCCAAAGAGCCAATGAAAACCACCGAGTTATGGACAGCTATTTTTTTGACCTCAGAGGAAATCTCTGTGCATACCAACAATTTATAATTATTATGACGCTCACTAGCG